GAGTAATGATTCGGGATATATATTTTGCTATAGTTATCGATATTTGATCTTAAAAAATTTCTCGGTCGGATATGCTGTTAATCATGAAATCAACTCAGAAATAATTATTTTCGAATACGTTGCTTGTAAAATCACGAATTCACGTTGCTGGTTTTTACTATTATGAATTATCTATATTATACACTTTGGGTCAATCACGTGAGAAATGTAAATTATTTGTCACTTGTATCACGCCCACCATTTTTATTCGTCACATGTTTAATTTTAAAATTTAAAGTGATCCTTACAAATATCAAACTGCTTAATGTGATTGCTAGAGCAATCCTTACTCAACTCAATTAATTTATGATTAAAAAAATACTACGCCACAGTAAACATTTCCAATAATAAATTGTTCTATTTTTAAATATTGAGTCGAATTAATTAATAAAACGATGTACTAAAATTTATTATTCAAAATTTTACTACTAAAAAATTTTAAAATTATAAAATAATAATTTGCTATTATAAAATATATAAATTTTATTATTAAAAAAGTATTTTTTATATTTATTATTTATTTTTAAAAAATATTTTCTGGGATATTAAATACCCCCCAGACTCCCCATTCTTTTTTTTTAATGTAACACTCATCAAACTTTCATTATGAACGATTTTGTTTATGGAGTTATATTTTCTTGCCATATTTAAGGTTACAAGACTTTGAAGAAGCGATAAGTTAGGTTAGTATAAAAAGATTGTATCATCTTATGAATAATAGTAATGGACAATAGCACCGATTATTAATAAGGAGCGTGTAAATAAATCCCGATTGTAGTATTTTTTTTTTTTTTTTTTTATTGATGATTGATAGTTATTTGAACAAGATTTTCAGTTGCGTATTATGTAGAATAAAGTAAAATTTTGTTTATATAATTAATAATATGAAATATTGTCATATGAAGTTCTAAATAAACAATGTTACGTTAACTAACGATTCAAGTAATGACCCCGATCTAAAAATCTTTAAAACAATTTTATCACGTGGCAATTTCCACACATTACTGATTCATACACTTTTTTTTTATTAACAAGATAGCATCCTTTATGTAATTCGGTATTTGTAGAAGTAAAGGTACCATAGTTAATTAATATCAGCACTGTTCCAGATCCTTCTCCTTGCACATCAGAAAGAATCTTCAAAATAATATTAATAATATAAGTAAAAACGTCACGCGATTATTTAAAAATTTCATGTTACTTAAATGACCGAATATAGTTACTAATATATTTTGTTTAAATAAAAATATTTTTTATAGATGGATAATCTTTTTTTCATATGACAAAATAAAAATTTTTGTATGTTAGATCTAAAGTTAGAAATTTAATGATAGATAGGGAAATTGTTGGATTATTTTACCATAAAATACGATATCTGATAAAAAAAGTTTAAAATACCGAATCGGCAAAGAACTCCGTAAATAAATAAATAGTTTGAACTTTAAAAGGATCAATAGAATTCAGCCAATGTTGTGAACATAAGAATGATTGATAAAGGTTGTTTTTCATATCATCTATATGTACTTAACATTAATAAATAAAAAATTTCTAACTAAAGCATATATAAATAAATTATTTAATAGGCGATAACGGGTATCTACTTTCTAATTTAAGTATCAAATCAATAAAAATTCACGGAAACAACATCTGTAATTTATTCGAATATTATAAAAGAATATGCAGAAAGAAACGCTTCGTTCAATAAAAAACAATTAGAAATGGTTGTTTGATAATCAAATTCATGCGTTAGCGAAAAAAGAAAACAAAGCTTGTGTAAATACGAAAATATTTTTTTTTGGATTTAATATTCCTCGGAACACTTGTTGTCACACAATTGGTGACACACATTTAAAGACATGTCATACAGGGTATAATGTTTTTTAATTATAAGGAAACTACATCATGAGCGGGCTGATAAATTATAAAATAAATATTACAATATTAACCAAATAAAAAATTTTTTATATCTTGATTCATTATCAAATTGTGCCACAAACTCATTATAAATATATCCATATCAAGTTACTCAAAATCTGGAATAACAATATAAATACGTTGATGTTTTTATTACCTATAATATAGTGTACATAAACACTTTCCAAATAATAATATTATATACGAAAATGCTTCAAAGAAGACAAAACCAACGAAGACAACAACACTTTATTAGAATAAATAGAGTAATAATATATCAAAGTAATTCCCAAAGACGCGTTCAACCTATTAATAACCAAGATATGTTGAGTCGAATTGCAATCCTTCCTCAGCAAACTATGGATAACAACCCTATGTTGGAGCAGTTTTTTAATGGGTTTTCTTTCCCTTAAATTTAGGTAATTAAAATATATTTCTAGTAAGAAGAGTTTATGTAAATAAAGATTATTAATCGAGACGCGTTTACATTAATATTATGTATTACCTATAAAACTTTTAGCTTGGCTCAAATTTTTATTTTATTATTTAAAGTTTTTTTATTCTTATTTATTCTTCAAGCATAAAATGTTTCAAAGTTCTTTCAAAATTTATTATAAGTGTAAATATATTACACACGATCAAATCAATACTTTTTGTTTGGCTTTTAAGTTAATAGCATTAAACGTCGGATTTGATTTATTTATACTTAAAATAAACATATTTATAAAACAAATGGGTTGACCTAAAACTTTGATCACAAAATATAAATGAATTTATTATTTGTTACGATTAATAAATTTATTATAACGCTTAAAACATATGATGTAGCATGTCAAATGTCTTTGTCCTGAGCGAAGCAAAAGACTATATATTTCTGTTCATTGAGTAAATTTTGTTGAGGTTTGCACATATTTTTTTGTATTTGTTGTTATTATAGTAAGAAAAATAAGTAGTAATTATAAAAAATTTTCTTTATGGGAAATCAATATTATGAATAGCGAAATGTTACTGGTTGCGGATCTATTGATCATGTGAGCGTTTCAATCATAACGATCCCCGTTTCCTAGTTTATATAGATGTCGAGCATTTGATTGACAAAATTTATATCACATTTTGACTTTACAAATGTGCGACATTGCTAACTATTTTGAAGTTCTGTTTCACTTCTAAAAAACACTTGGTTTAAAAGTTAAAAAGTTTGGTTGTTTTAAGAGATCTCTTCAAACATGTTGTCTACTATATACCGATTTTAATATGTAAAAGTTTTATAAACCATTTTAATATGAAAAATACGTTATACTGGCTTTAAGTTAATTAATAAAATTAAATTTAATTAAGAGAAGTCTTAAAATATTATCTACAATATCATATGCAGAATCCATTGTTTTCTTCCTCTCTATATATTCCAAAATTCAAAGCAAGCAAGAACTTTATTTTCTTCTCTCCCTATAAATATATTAATTTTAAATTAATAAAAATGTATTTGTCACTGCTATTTCTTATTATTTTCTTATCATTTAATAATCTTTCTTAAACTTTTACATAATTTTTAGTGTTTTGTTAATATTGTCTATTTATCTAAACTGGTGTCATTTAAAGAAAAAGATAAATTACTTACCTCAATAAAAGTTGTTTTTCAAACGAGTCATATTTAAATTCAGGCATTTATTAAGAACTTCTCATCATAGACTTTTTATAATATAAAAATCAATTTACATAAAATCCAACTCTACAACCTAAGAAAATGATTTTCCTCCAATAAAATTACATATACAACAGTATTTTTTGTTTTTAAGGTTATAATTTACCTCTACTTGTAAAAAGTTCTTGAAAAAACTTACTTTTAAAGCGAACACTTTTTTATTCGCAAATCGTGAATGTTTAAAAAAGTTACAGCATTTGATAATCAATGCAAATCAAGCTGGAAATCTTTCATTACGTATGAATTTTAGGACATTATTAATATTATAATTATAGAACAATTATTATGGTCAATTTGTGAATTATGTATGCTACTGATAAATTTGAAACAAAGTTTTTTAAAGCAATTATAATACAGAAATTGGATAAAAAATTCGGATCTTTTCAATGAATAATTAGCGATTCGTATATGATACGGAATATGGTTTACTTATAAATACTGCATATATTTTATAAAGTTCAAGAAAATAAGAATTTTGAAGCTGCTACTCCATCATTTTTCAGCAAATGTAGTCTTTTAGCAATTAGAAATTCCGAAGAGTGCGTTGCTTTATTACTTACAAAATTATTGCAAAAAGAGATTGTTCGCTGCCAAATTATTATTTATTATGTGAAAGTCGATAATGCGCAAACATCCCTTATTTAATATAAAATTTCTATCGAGTAAGGAAGATTAAGTGTCTTTACTCAAAATTCGAATACTAATATTTATTAAATTGTTTATTAAAGTACTCTTAAGTAAAGTCTACATGTTAAATTGATATATATAAATCTATAAAATCTACATACTAGGTTAAATTGTTAAAGAATGTCTTGAAACACCAAAGGAAGGCATTGCGCTACGTTTGTTAACATTCAATTCACTTCTTTCGTTTAATACTTGAGCCAAACCACGTTTATTAATACAGTGTGGAAGATCATCGTGGTGATGTTCAGATCCCCAAAGGTTATCTTCAATAGATTTCTTTAATTTATGTTTTTCAATGAAAATCTTGGCCATTTTTCTCCAGCATGGATCGCATTGGAACGATTTTGGGATACGGATTTTCTTTCCATTTCCTTTGATAACGAATTGGTAGTCATGGCTAACAATAGCTTCTGGGTCAGATTTAGTCACCTTCTTCATCCATTTAACAAATTTCTTGTTGAATTTAATACTGCAAAGATCTGTAAATAAAAATTTTTTTTATAGTTAGATTGCTATTAAAGCAAATTTTTAATAATTACGCAGCATATAATGATGTTTACTTACCGCCATCGTCATTCTTTAAGCAGATGGCTTTTCGACTGGGGATTCCAGTATAGTAGACGAGTAAAGTTCCATAAGCAGCATAAGCGGTTTTATCTTTATAAGTTTTAGGATGTGCACTCCAATCAAACTTAACCGATAATTCTTTTGAGCAAACCTTTTCAATCTTTTTATAGATTTTTTCAACTTCTCTTTGTTCACAATGAAAGTCTTGATGGCAGTATTTAGTCACACCTTTCTCAAAGTATTCAAGATCATATGGTTTTGGAGATTCATTGGAATCCTTGATAGCTTCAAGAATTTTTTTCCTACATTGAAGGCCGTAGCACATTGTCCAGGGTTTTCGAAATGATCCCACATGAGTTTTTGACATTTGTTACAATTTTTTGTTTTGAATAGTTCTTCACAATTATCGGGATAATCATGTTCCCAATCTTCATAATCGTTGTAATGTCCGGTGGCTTGAACTTGGATTATGAAAATTGCGAATACGCAACGAGGAGAAGGTCTTGAAGATTCATATTGTCTATATTATTTATGGGAAAAAATTTTTTTTTCTTTTTTTAACTTGTGAGAAATTAATTCAACACTAGATTGTAGTGAAAATAATCAAAGCGAAATGGTTAACCTTTTATACACGTTCAATCTTCTGCGCCGTCGAATAAATTAGACTCCATTATCTAATGGTTCGGATCATAATGATAGCAATTTCTTTTGATCAACGGAGGTAAATTTATTTACTTATTTTTTATTGAATCAATGAGATCTGCAGCCCAATTATGGAAGAATAAAAACATCAAATGATCCTTCCTAATATAGTAAATTAGGTTAGTTTTTATTATTTCCTTTTTTATTTTTATAATTTTTTTTTTATTGTACGAAATAGCTATTTTTTAGAAAATTCTTTAAATTCTTTTGATATATCGTACATTTCTCACTTGATTATTTCAACGAATTTATAAATAGATACTAGTAGTCTTTGTAATAATTAAACAATAATATTATTTTACGTTATGGATCAAGCAGCTAAACATGAATGAATATTTGTTTAATGGATTAATTTGATCATATAACGTTAATTTTTTTTTTGTAAGATTTGTAAAAGGTTATGCTCTTCGCTCATAAACTATAAATAAATTGCATGCAAGAATCACCTTTGGTTATCACGAGAATAATTTAACTTTTCATATTTCCCCTTATAAACGTCTATTGTTTTACTGGATAAGAAAAATAACGTAAGAAACATTTTAATGAAATTTTCGATTTATTTTCATCACTAAACGTGTGTTACATCTCGTGCATAGTTTAAAATTGGAAAACTGCGGATTATAAAAAGTTTTCCTATTATTATACCATCTCTCATTTGCAAAATAATGCCGTTTGAGATTTTTTTTTTTTCTAGTTTAGACAAAAGTCGAAAGATCGAAATAAATAAAATTACTTACGTTAGATTTTGGGCATTATTGCCTTTTTAAATGCCCAAATTTACGTCAAATAATAAATTCGAAGAAGGATAATCCTCTTTCCTTTTATTTAATTTCCTGTCATGAGTTCTCCTCCCTTTTCATTATCTTGGAATTCCGAGTGCAACGTATTCATTCCACTTGCTTTTCATAAACTTTTTTTTTAAATTCATTGCCCTCATTAACCAGTTATCCGCATTGATGGAATAAAAATAAATCACATTCTCTATCCGGATTTGAATCTATAACAATGTAAACATTAGGGATGGTAACGGTCGGTCGTGGTCAGTCAACGGTCGGTCAAAGGCCTTTGACCGACCGACCGGTTAACTGACCGGTTTTAACTGACCAGTTGACCGACCGGTTAAATGTTTAAAATTGGTTTCTTGTAGGGGCTAATATATCATAATGGTATGTAGAATAAAGTGAAAAAAGAATGTTTTGTTTGGTAGGTTCATTGAGCCCTCTGACGTTATGTGATGCGATGGAAAAGTTTTTTGTTTTGAAGTGTAATATAATTGAACAGTTTTGGCTTAATAAAAAGTCTTAATTTAGCCAAATATAATTTGATACTTGCTTTAACGCTAACAATTCTAGCATGGCATTTTTTAAAACTACTTTGTCATTTTTATTAAGTGGCGCAGCATTATCGCGGATTTTAATTTTTTTTTTTTAAAATTACAAAACTTCATAATTAAAATAAAATGTTGATATTAATTTTAATACAATGTGTTTTACTATTAAAACATGGTTTGTTCAATCTCAAGTCAGTCGGTCAACCGGTCGGTCAAAATCGGTCAGAATCGATCGGTCAACCGGTCGGTCAGAAGCCTTTGACCGACCGATATCGGTCACGGTTATGACCGGTTATGACCGGTCATTACCGTGGCCATTAGCATCCCTAGTAAACATTTGATCCCAATGTAGACCATAATCTAACCCTTTGTTGCCCTTAATATTTTTGCTTGCTAACAAATTAACAAGACAAGTTTTTTGATGCAATTTGTCAATTCACCATAAGTTTGACTTTTTAAAGATACACGTATTCGAATTTCTATCACACATATTTTTATAATTAGAATAAAAATTAATCCTTATCGGCATGCAATTTCTTACGTACTATAAAACTCAACCTTTTTAATAAAAGTATTCTTAATACATAGTAATTATTTTTTATTAACAATTCTTCCCACCCAACTTTATCAAGAATTGCACCTGACGAGAGGAAAATAGTATGTTCCAAAATTTAAATTTCGTGATTTCTAAATTTGATACCAAAATGTTTTATGTAAATCGAATAATAAAATAATTAAAGTACATTTTCAAGATAATTTTAATAAGTATCTAACGCTGCGTGCATAAGCTCCAAAATTTTAATAAATTTAAAATGAGTAAGGGATACTAAAGGTACAGTAATGGCCGGCATTATTATCATAAAATCTTGCGTATGTGGATCTTGAGTTCCATAATATTGATTAATATATCTACTAATTTCATAAAAGGAATTCCAATTTAAAGATAATTCATAATACAATTTAAGCTTAAATAAATTTATCAAATTATTTATCTTAGTCTACATTTATAATATAATAAAATAGGATACCGTTACTGTACCTCATTTAATTCTTTAGATTTGATGTTTTTAGAATTCTTTAGAGCAACAGTCTCATAAATACCATCTTTAAACATAGTTTTATAAACTTTACTAAATCCTCCTTCGGCAATAAATACTAAGTGTTTGAGGCTGGCTATCTTATGGTATGGAATAAATTTCAATCTACCAGCATTTATAACACGATTAATTTGTGTGAATCTTGCAAAATCATCAATAACTTTATTTTTAATGCAATTTTTCTTAATAGCAATAACGATAATTCTGATGAATTTCATCTGAGAGTTTTCTCATTCGAATGCAATCATCACATTTTTCATACTTGAGTTCAGGCGTAGGTTGAGTTTGTTGACTTAAAAGTGTTATTAATAAATCAATTTTTCAATTATAAACATTTGTTTGTTCCATGTTAAAATTTATTTAGAAAGAAAATTTGAATGGTAGAAAAAAATTGAAGGCGCTATTGTGTAACAATGGCCAAAAAAATTTAACTGTTCAAAGATTTTACAAGCATAAGTTACATCAATATTAACTTGGAAAGCTAATTGTTCTAATATCTTTAGTGATAACTTGTCACTTTAACCTAATGCTGACAATCTTAATGTGTAATCATGTTGTTTAGTGGCCCCATATATTACTTATTTAAAAAATTCTTTTAAAAAAAAAAAGTATTAATGTATTTCGAAATTTGTTTTACCCTATTGAACCCCAACTAGCCGAAGTTAATAGTTCATATAATGAGATATATAAATATCATTCGTAATATTTTCCTTATTTTATATTTAAAATGGAAAATAACTAGGGACATTAAAAACATTTTTCTTCATTTATAAATTATCCAATGATGAAATTATACTAATTTACTATCATAATTCTTTCAGTTTACGTTTGATAGACAGATAATGCAAGTTTTTTTTGGCGGTATACATTATATATTATGATAATTTGCCATTTAAAAAATCTGACGCGTTGTTTTCCAATTATGCAATGAATTATTTTTAATGTCTTCACTTTTACAAGGCCTTTATTTATTTATACGGTAATTACTTACATTTCGATTTTTGTACCAAATCACTTTGATTTTTCCTGTTATATAAAAAATCAAATACGCGTATTAAATTTATCACGAGATAAAATTTTTTATCGCATATCGTATTCGAGTTTTACGAAGAAAGGCGCAGTTAAGTTTCGTTTCGGTAAAATAGTGATCCGATAAACGGGCTTCGGCTAAATTTTGTCCGACCCACGAAACGGCTGGAAAAAAATAAAAAATGAGTTAATGCTAAATCTATCATTGGCATATAAAAGTAAAAATTGATTGTTTCCCCCTTTCTATTGCAAAGGTTCCATATCTTTGAACAAATTTCATAAAATCATATAATCAAATCATATTATATCTGCTTTATAAAGGCGAGTATTAAGCGGTAGGGTTATATCAAATAAACGATATTTTTTTAAAAATGCACCGAATGTTAGTATATTAACGGCGTCTTAACTATTGGATAAATTATTGAAGTTATGGTTATAATATTGAACATTGTATTCTTTGAACTCACAAAGCTTAAATATTAATAATACTACGTATATAAATACGATTTCCGTATAACAGGATAACAGGACTTATGGATTTGATATTTTTGTCTATCTCGTTAAAAAAAATTCTAATGGTTCGTTTTCAGCCGCATTTAGCAAAAAATATATACTGGTACAGTATAAATCGAATACTATTTTTCTTATAAAGCAATATACAGAACAATATAATAATCACGTGCGGATTTTCTACAAATAATATTTAAAAAAAATTCCTTTTTTTTTTTAAAAAAAAAAAAAAAAAAAAATCTTCTAGATTTTTTCATCATCGAATTACATCAATATTCATTATTCCATTATTCCGTAATTTTTTCTTTGGAAACTTGATCATTCATATGATATGACAATCAAATTATTCATTTTCTTAACTCTATCTACATGTACATATTTCTTTTGAAAATTCCTTTTTTTTTATCTCATTTTACTTGTTATAACTTTAAATATGAGCAGCTTTGTAACGTAAAAGTCATTCATAATATAAGTTTGTTGGATGTTACCTTAAATATTTAATGAAACTTTATTTTTTTTTTTTTAAACTTTTATAAATTAACGAATTCTGAATATAATACATCCACATGATGTATTAACTACAATGTAATGATAACTCGTGCCGAATTAATAGTTTACTCATAGTTACTATAGGATTAATTCGGTATTGGTGACAGGAAGTTAAAGGCTTTATTTACTAAATGAATAAAAAAATATAAATGTAAAGTAAAAGATATTCAGCAAGCAATTTTAGTATCCTAGGTCTTTCTATATATTTCAACTGAATCAAAATATATTTATATACTAAAAATTATTATAATTATAAGATTGTTGAAATTGAGGTTGAGAATTATTAGCATTAATGTTTGGGAAAGAATTATCCATATAATATTGATCTTGCACATTTAAATTTTCAATTGAAGAAATCGGAATGACGATAATCCTGAAACCAGGAATTTCAAATTTGAAAATTCCAGGATTAGATTGAGGTGGTGGATTGGTAGCCATGTTAAGTGATGAGGTATAATTAGTAGACAACGAGGGATTTTGTTCTTCGCTAGTATTAGCATGACCAGTATAACGTGAACCATATGACGGAGGGCATAATTGAATTGAAGCATTAGAGCCGGCCATTTGTTGTTGATTCGAAATCGCACCCACGTAAGACATTGAATTATTGTTCATCATGGGAAGATCATTGTTGTAGCCGTAATTAGCATTTGATGAAGAACGTTCCTCTTGGAAATTGGTTTCCGGAAACAAATGATTATTTTCATCAATAAAATTTATCTTTAATTGAAAAAAATTATTTTTTTTTTCCTTCGATGAGTTTTTCAGACTACTTTTATAATGAAAATTTTTTTATCCTCTCCTCTTCCTAGTAAATACGCTGATAATATTTATTTTGAGTAACATCATTTTGCGCCCACTGAGTTCAAAACAAAGTTGCAATTGAAATGAAAGAAAGAAATGTATTTTTTTTTTATTATTTTTCTATTATTTTATACAATATACAGAGATTGACTAGTTTACTCAAAAAATATTGTTAATAAATCTAATAAATCTGAGTGGGAAATTAAAGTACGAATTTCTGTCATTAACATATTTGAACTTTTTTATAGTTGTACTGAATAAATATTTGATTAGTATTTTAATAACTGTTCATAAAAGATTTCAGCCCAGCCATCTTTTGACACTTTAAAATAATATATCATTAACATTACCAAAAAAATTTGAAACAATATTAAAAATGAAAATATAATTTATCCAATGGAAAATCTATTTTAATGTATAAAATGAAAGTGAATAGGAAATAGCGGCGGCGCAAATGTTTCGTAACATCATGCAGGATTGTTTAAACTTAAATAGTTACTCAGGCCTGACTCAGTTCCATTTGTATTGGCGTAATTTGCATCACATCAATCACATCATAATGCATGACTCTGTTCCATTGTTTATCATGTTATCATAGTTTCACAGACATTAAAAGACTCAGAAAACGTGAAGTGATAATTTATTGATTGAGCTCAGAATCATGATCATAGAAATTGTCGCCCCTTGAAAAATAATTGTAGTAAATTAAACCTTCAAAAATTCCACGAAAGTTCACGTGATATATTTTTTGTCACCGGTGTCACTTCCTCCGCGTTTCATTTTTACTAAGTATTATGGGGACTTGGAAATTTTTCGGAATGTGAAATACTATTTGTCACGCATTTATTTGTCATTCAGTCAATTTCTTAATACCATAATGCCGGCCATTTCTTGACATTTTTCAAGGGTACGCAGGGTAGATCTCTGAATTCACACTTCACAATGTAATAATTATGGAAGTAATTGTTAAAAAAAAAAAATGCTCATTCCTCGCTTGATATAAAAAAAAATTTTTTTATTTTAGAAATTTTTTTTTTTTTACAACTCAAGAAATTTTTATTTATATTGTCATTTCAAATATAACGAAATGTTTAAATTTTTTTTTTTTATTTGTCTTTGTAATGTCAAGTTCAAAAAACAAAAAAAAAAAGAGGACAAAAAAGAAAAATAACAAACAAACAAATGTATAGAAATTTTCCGGGTAGTTTCAAATCCGCATGTATATTTTAATTTGTCTTTTGTGTTTGTTAAATACTCAAAATAATTTATTAACGAGAAAGGATAGTCGGTCTGAAAGGTAACAATGATTGCGCCTTTGATTTATGTACAAAACAGATAAAAGTTCTATAAAAAATGGGGGATTTCTGTTCAACAAGAAAATGATCACATAATACACATTCCACCAATAGAAAAAATCTTCTTTTTTTAATATTTAAATTCCGTAACTATAATATTTTTCCCCATCAGTTCAAAATATTAAATATAATAGGAAATAAAGGTTGAAACACTAGTTACTCATTATGATAGACTCAAAAAACTCGACCGTATAAAGTACTTTTATGAGATTTTGATATCTACTTAATAATATTTTAAAAATAATCTATTTTTTCTATTTGCCTCACATCACTAATTAATAAAAGTGATAAATGTTTAATTTGATCGACATGTCAATATAAAAATAGTAATAATGAATGATGAATGATGACGTATATTTTAATTTCGGCTTTTAAGCCAATTGTCAAAGACTTCGCGCGCTTGCAAAACTTGATTTCGTAATGTTAAAACCTGTCGGGAATTGGTTTTTTTTGGAAGGAATTTATTTTTTTGGAAATGGTAAGTGGTATTGTATAATTATTTAATTTAAATATTAGAAAGGTTATTTGGTAAAATGGCAAAAATAACTCTTATTAAGTTAGAAATAAAAACGAAAATAATATGTTTCCTATATAACATTGAAAGGTTCTAAAAAAAATCTTTTTATTATTGTAATTTTAATTCTTATTTATTTTATTACAGGTTTTATAGGACGTTTTGTGTTATTTTATTTACTATCATGATGAGATTATGTACCGTATATTTAAAGGGTTATAACTATAGATAAAAATGCAGAGTTTAGTATTTAGTGCTCCGTAAGGGTCGGGTCGGGTCGGGTTTGAAGCATATTCGAACTCGAACCCGTTAATAATTACAGAACCC